CCGGGAAAATGTCACGTTACAAATGGCGCCCAACGTGGGGCCCCAAGGTTATTGAGGCATAATTGGGATTATTTTTCGCGTTTCTTTTTTTTGAGGTTTAGCGAATTAAATTGAGATTTTTGGAGTTTCGAGAAATTAAAAGGTTGTGGGTTGGATTAGTGCGAGACAAAATTTTTTTTTGATTATTGTGAGGATTAGGATTTGTGGGGAGGATTTCGTTTGCGTATTTCTCAGTCCCGCGATAATAGTATCGCGTGGGAATAGTATACGGATATTAATTTTTTTTTGGCGTTGAGAGTCCTTACGTTTTCGCTATTTTTTTTTCTGCCATGCCTTTTTTTGACCAGTTATAGGTAAATTAAAATTTTGGGATTTTGATAATTGGGAAGTTCGCGATCCCGTGATGACCTCATCACGTTGGAATTTTGTTTTTGAATTATTATCCTGCCGCTATTATCCGCAGTACAAAAGGCAGTGTTTGGGTAAGAGAGTGAGAGAGATATTTTTCTTTCCGTGCGATCGCGGATTATCCGGACGTCGATAATGACATCATCAGTCCGGCACTTTGAAAATTTTTCGTGTCGCGAATTATTATCGTTAAGTGGGAATCATGTCCCCCGGGTATCGTTACGAGGAGGGGGGTAACCCCCGCGTTTGGCTGACGGCCAATTTTGAGGAGACTCTTAGCCTCCTTTCCGCTCAGTACAGTTTGAGCATTGAGAGGAGCTAGTGCAAAATTATTGCTAGTATTGGTTTACCAATTCCTATTGAGCTTTATTATTTCGGGTTTGAGTTTCGCGTAACGCCAGTGACAAGCGCGATTTGAAAACTTTTTTTTTTGCTATATAATTTTCGATATACCATCGTCCTTTTTTTTGGGGGAACTGAATAAAAAATTTTTTTTTTGTTGTGAGTGTTTACTAAAATTTCACGTGGAGTTCCCGAAGCTGGCCTCCATCGACTACTATCGGCAAGTGGAATTTAAACATTATATTATATTTTTCTTTTCTCGGGTTATCGGAGGCGTCCGATCTCCACCTTTTTTTTTTGATTTATTATCGGCCTTTGTTCGATTGATTATCGGCCTTTTTCCGATTTATCTTCGGCTTATTTTCCGATTTATCATCGGCTATTTTCCGATTTCTCATCAGCTATTTTTCGAATTTTACCGGCTTATTTTCCGGTTTATTACCAGCTATTTTCCGGCTTTCAACGGCTTATTTTCCGATTTATTATCGGCTATTTTCCGACTTACATCGGTTTATTTTCCGA